AACATTGTTCTTAATCAATTAGAGTCAGATGTTTTCATTTAGATTATTTCATTTCTGCTCTGGGCAGATGTTGATTCATATGATTTAAATTAAAATCACACTGGTTATAGGTCAAAGGCAGTATACTTCCTGCTGCTCCACATTCATCAAGCCCGGACAAGTTTGATCTTGAGTTTACGCTCTGTCCTGGCAAATAAAGAAATACAGCGCTTCCTGAAGAATCACAGATTTGTCCGTGATGAAATCTCCAGGCTGCGCTGTAAATATTTGCCCGTGCTGTATTTGTGTGAGCGTTTCATTAACGATCAGAGCTGACAAACATGCACACTCATTGACCCCAGCCATCGGGGGAGAGCCCGAGACAGTAGTGTGTGTTTAGTGTGTATTTGTTGAAAACGTAAATGCCTCACATGAGGGATTGATGTCACCAATGGAGGAGACGACTGCAGTGGAAATGAATCTGGTGTGGTAAACGTTTTCCATAGCCAGCGCTCCTGGCTCTTATTTAAGGCCCTGTCAGAACTTGAAAGTGTAATTGATACAAATTCTAAAGTTTAATTTTTAAAGTTTATAGTCACAGAGGGTTCAGGGCCTCAGATTGTTTAAAATTGCACTCACTCCCTTTTCATTAAAGCAGGATAGTCTGAAAACATTTGTTCATCAAAGGGTTGCTACAAATTAGACTTTGAGAAACTCAATTTGAAGTAAAGAAAAGCATTTCTTTTCCTCGGGGGGGAAGCCAAAGTCTCGGCTGTGTTTGCATTTAAATATAAACAGGGCACAATATCTGGCTTTAAAGATGCATGCAGTCATCATACAGACACAAACACGGAGACACAAGCTACACTTGCCATATGCACATACTCGCCCACGACTATATAATTTGGTAGTTTGCTCTAAACTGGTGCAGACAACAGCATGAAAACCTCGCTATCATGTTGCGCCCATGCTCTTAGATTGTTGTGTCTACACGCTAATAGTTGAAATTAGCAATAAGGCCTCTGGAGACACTGAGGAACAGGCTGGCATGTTGTAAATTCGGGTCTGCCGAGGGGGGAAGAGAGACAGAGAGTCAGATAGAGATGGCCAGAGCAGTGGAATAACATCTTAATCTATCTGAGAAGTGAACAGTGGCTGGTCTGTTTTTGGAGCACGCTGTCTTGGATGACTCCCAAGCAGAGGGGCAAGGAGCAGAGCCATCTTCAGCTGCTAGTCACTAACATGGCAGTAATAAGGCAGTGATGACCCTCCCAGGACTGCCGGCCAACACTCCCTCTGCCTCCTATCCCTTCAGCACAAACACACACACACACAAACACAGGCCGTGCACTTGAACAGATATGCAGTACAGCACCAAATTTTCTCTCTCTGTGATATATTGACTTCCCTTCCCGCTGACCAATTCCCATTCATCTTGAATGCAACTTAATAGCACGATGAAAAGCACAGCAAGACATGCAGTAGGTTAAAACTGCTACTGTATTATTGCGCTACATTGTATAAAGCAAAATTTGTATTATAGGTCCTTAAACTATCATTTTAGAGGAAGAATAGATTAGGGCCTAACATAATTAAATGCATGAACTTAGGCTGAGGTATGCACGGTGCAACAACTCACAACAGAACCCTTTCCCTCAGTTAAAAGTCCCCATAATCAAATTTGGCTTGTTTTCATACACATTTATGGTCAGAAATCTTTATTGACGTCCTATTCAAAGCCCCCGTCCACCCAGAATTCAGTGTTTCTTCTCATTCCTACAGTGTGCTGTTTGAATGCTGTCCATGCAGTTTGACACTAGAAGGATGTTTTCACATTCATCTGATGAAAGTGGAAAGTTTCTCTGTGCTCATTGAAAATCAGATTTTAAGGGGCGGGGCCTACCAGCATGATTTGTGACATCACCACAAATAGTTAGGAAGTCAATCCTGGTCCAGTATGTACAGTGTGATGTAGGAACTTGAAGCCACCAGTGCACATCCACTGAGAATGGACTTTGAAGTGAAGTAGGAGACATCTTGTGTCCAGCAGGAAAACGTAGAAATTAGAAAAATTTGCATATTCTGAGATTCTGGAATTTTTAATGCGGTAGAAGGATGTCTTTTTAAGGATTTTAATGTCGAAATTATACTTTTTTTAGCTGAAAAAACATATCAGACACACATTACTGTTTCAAGTAAACGTCTTAATTTTGTCTCGAGGGGATCTTTAAAGTGTGTGACATTAATTTACTCACTGAAGCATAATCAATGAGAGTAACACAGAAGCATGGGACTAGTCATCATAGTCTATAAGGCTTAATGCAAATGGAGAAGTAAAACAGCACTCAGGGCTAAGAGAATGAATGTGATGCCGTTGCACCTGTTGCAACAGACCTCTTCCTGTCTGTCTTGACTGTGCACATCACTCACATACAGTACTCTAAAATCAAAAATTCATTAATGTGCTTTCTCACAATTAGGTTACACCCTAAAGCACTTTAGGATTTAGACTTAGATTAAGTTTTATTAACATGTTAAACGGCAGATAAAGCTGCACACTTGCCACAAACACAAATAAATATCATTAGTTTGTATAAAACTGATGCTGAAAATCACTTATATCCCCTTACTGAGTATAAAGGTGGGTTAGCCATCATTAGAAGATTCATAAATATCAATTAGATTACCATAAAATGCACTTATATTTGTATTTTATCTCTGTATCCTTATGTAGCTTAAATTAGTTTCACTTACTCTTGCACACAAGTAGTTTTAAGCCACTGAGATCCGTGTTAGCCTGTACAACACAGCCTGTGCGTGGCTACTTACACATATATGGTGAGAGTACAACCCTCGGTGCCATGCATTGTTAGAAATTTGCATGCTTAAGTCCATATGGCAACTTCCTTTTGACCTGCTTTCCCATCCCAGATGCATTGTCAGGGCTGTCAGCCGATAAAGAATCACTTGACTTGCTATAACAAGTTCAAAAGGAGCTGATGACGCGCTGTTGATCCATGGAGAATCGGCAAAAGGAACACCCCTACTGCTTGCTGCTATCACTCCCATAGAGATAGCCATATTATTGATGGGGAATGGTTATGCTAATTTCTTTAGGGGAGGAAAAGTTTTTTTTTTATTTTGGAAAACGCTCAAAAAAAGAGAGAAGGAAAGAAAAAAAATTTCATACGCATCAAACTGAATTCCATATAACCATTTAAAGGAGCAGCATGAGAATCTGATTTTCATAGTGCATAATGAATGTGGGGTATCTTTTAAAGAGGGAGATGTGTTTTGTCTGGGAAGGGGAAGAAAGCAGATATTTAGGCTGTCTATTAACATCTCACCGAACACACACACACACACACACACACACACACACAAACACACACACACACACACACAGACTCAAAAGCATAAATATTATTAATATAGTATTATAATAGTATTATTATAAGAGCAAAAAGAAAAAAGATACAGATAATATTTAAACATCTTTTGTCTTAATATGCCTGAACATGACTTTCTTTACATGTGTAAAAATGCAAAAAAAGAGCAAACATTTTCTTTGAAAAGCAGTTTTTGATTAAAAAAAAGTTTTCTGCAATGCATTCAGATGTGATTGAAATAATAATCGTTCTAATATGCTGCAAGGTGCGGATTATTTTCACCCACAGATGGAGTGTCATGTGCTCTCTGTCAGAGTGACCATTCACATGTGTGTATCTGCCTCTCTCTCTCTCTCTCTCTCTCTCTCTCTCTGACACATACAGCATGGCACACTGAGGGGGGAGAGGATGATCAGTGTGTGTATGTGTGTTTGGGATTGTGGGTGGGGGTGGCGGGGGGGATTACGCAGGGGGCTGCTTCTATGAATATGACCCCGAGATATTCCATTGTGGGCCCATGTCCGGTTCTGAGGACATCTGATAGCATCTCAGTCAGTGGCATTAATGTGTCTCTCGGTTCGACATTTTGAATAATCGGAGCTGTCTGCCGTCATCCTGCCACTAGCTGTCAGCAGCACCGTCTGTCTGTCTGTCTGTCCGTCTTATCACACTCCTCTACTCATGCACTTACATTATAGAAAACAAGCTGTCCGTGCAAGAGAGCACTTGATACTTTTTTATTATTACCAAACCGTTCCCATAATTACCCCATAATCATTATATAATCCTATAACAAAGCCTCTATTGAAGCCCTGTCTTTTGTCAACGCTGGGACACTGAATCTATAATTGCATTATTCAGTCTCTTCCACCCCCCTATAGAAGCATAATATATCAAAACCATCCCGCAAGGAAGGTTTTAGTTGCAGGGAATGGTTCGGCCTATGCGGGACATCTTTTTGTCGTGTGTGTTTTTTTTTTACGCGTCGCAAAAAAAAAAAGTTGTGCCAACTTAAAGTTTAAGGCTCCTGCTGGAAATATCAAAAAAAAAAAAAAAAAAAAAAAGTATTTGCTTCTTTTGCAGACAGAGTGGGCTCTTTAAAAAAAATCTTCAGAGACGTGTGTAGAAATGCATCCATTCACAAACTGGACCAGTCGCATTATTGATATATCATATTTTCAAATAATTATGCTCATTCCCTATTGCGCTCCCAGGCAGTAAGAATAAATCGTCAATACACTGAGAAAAAAGAGGCAAAAGCGAGTCCCCGAGGAGCGGTTTTGCGTTTGTATGCATGGGGATTGGCAACACAACGGGGCTTATTTACATTAAATACGCCACAAGGTTACAGTGCAGATAGATGAGCGTCATTTTTATCACTCATTACTTCTCTTAAGCGGTGACTGACGCTCAGGACGCACAAGAGGCAACACTCATTTATCCTGGAGTTTTTTTAAGGCGAAGAGAAGAGGAAAGAGACTCGAAACAGTTCACTTGAAAGGTAAGGAATTCTACTTTTTGGAGTAATTTTGTGACCTGGGTGTCTTTACGCCGAGCCAGCGTTTAACGCACGGTGCCCGAGCGGCGAGGCTGTCTGTGTGTGAACGGTTATACAGGGGGCAGATTTCTTGAAATAAAAGAGTGTTTGTGGGCAGTTCAAGGTCAGAAACAAACTAAGGTGGCTGTGAATCGGCTTTTTTCTCTTGCCACGGCACCAGGGGGAATGTAACGACGAGGGGATTATTTCTTTAAACGAGGTTCTGTGCACCGCTGGGCTCACCAGCTGATTTTTTTTTATCCCCGTCAACGACGAATACCGCTAGACCCGGGCTGCATGCAGCCAGTCGGCTCTGCTCTCTACAATGGAGTGCCTTTTTAACGGTACAATGCATTTCACCTACCAGATAGGGGGAGTCCAAGCTGAAAGATGAAGGGAATATGCTGATGCCTGGCGATCGGCATCAATGCAAACGTTCACCTTTTAGCGGGCAGCCACAGGAAGGCAAGAAGAGAGACAAGTAATAAAGCCGTATTTTTTCGTTTCAAACTCAGGATGCGCGGCAGGGAGCAGCTGTAGGGACAGGATCGAGGAGTGGACAGTCTTTAACAGGTCCGAAGCGCACTTTTCAGCCACCCCCCGTCATCCGACAAGAATATGATCCGCTCAAATCATATGGACATGCCTCATTATTCAATGAACACTATCTCTCACAACGCATCGTTTACGCGCAGGAGTTAGCCGGCGCTTCGCCAAATTTAAAAGGTAAGAAGAAAGTGTGGAGCTTATAGCACACTAGTGGGGTTTTACTGGGGGGCTTGGAGTGTGTTACTCGCTGGGAAGTCAGTTTTTTGGGGGAGGATTGGGGTTGTTTGTGCGGGTGCATCGCAGCGGGGGCCCCTGATGTCTCCCCAATCATGATTAGAAAATAACAGTGCAATTATCCGTAGCGAGTGACGATCGTAAAAAAACGGCGACGAAATAGCAGCTGGGACCAAAAGACACAGGGCTGCGATGCTCGGCACCTTGCAACTCAACGCGCACACACTAAAAAACTATTTTTATTCCAGCGGAGAATAAACGATAAGTTTTGTTTACCGTTGCATGTTTTACTCTGCGCTGCTTATGCGTAAAAAGGCGTTCGGGACGCACGGCTTTTGCAATATTGCGCATGATACAGATCAGCGGCGCAGTGTGAGACTTTTCGAAAAGTCCAGCCGTGTTCCCGATAAAAGTGCACACACGGGAAACTTTCCACCGGCACTTGCTGCCGACCGAGTGCCGGGAAGGCGACTCAAGTTTACCGGTGCGTTTGCCACTATGTGTCAAAACTTGTGAGATGGAAGAAGAGCCGGTGAGACCTGCCATTTTGTGCAGTGATCGACCTCTCTTATGAATAAGCAGCCCCTGCACCGTGCTTTGAGGAGACGTTACGATGGCATTCAGACGAGGGGGGTAAATGTCATTATGTGGAGACGAACGCACACATTAGCAGCGGTGAAATTGACATTTTTGGGAACCGCGGTGTCACCTTTGCTGAGGTGGGGGGTGTGAGGGTTTTTTTTTTTTTCTTTAAGAGAGGGGGCAGAAAGTTAGGGCGAGTCGCTGAAAGGCTACAGGAGGCTGATAGACAGCCGTTCCCGTGGAAATATAAAATGACGGAGAGCCCATAAGCCGCTAATATTTTTTTCCAGGGGATGGAAGAGTTCGTGTGTGTGACATGTCATTGCACTCGTGCTCTCAGGAGTTTCCGCGTTATCCTCTTTTAATTTACCACAAGCTGTTTATTTTTAGGATATCCGAAAAGACCCAGCGCGTTTTCGTGCGCTAAAAAATCTCCAACCGGCTGCCCGAATTCCCACACCGAGGCTCACATGTCCGAATTTGCGCTTACATGATGGGGTAGTATTGAATTATCAGTAATATGTGGCAGGGATGAGGCTTGTAATCCCATTTAAAGCCTCTGTCTCACCCGCACGTCTTGGGTGGGGAGGACCTTTTCTTGGAAGTGGAGTTGACCCCTGAGTGATCTGACCTGGGTTATCCAGCCACTTCCAGCAGCCACCAAGCACTGCACAATGGCTGTGAAGACACATGTCATCCTTCTGAAAATACTCAACAATGTCCATCACGTTGTTTCCCACTGTTTCTCTAACCTTCCCTGAAGTTGTCTTGAGCCAAAAAAAAAAATATCTTGCCTCTTCCTCAGATTCATTGTGTAAGGGAAAGGGATAAATAGATGTACTGTGCGAGTTGAGATGCTGTCATTGTTTAATGGTATGCACAGGGCGGATATTATGTCTGAAATAGTGTCTGGGCGTAAACCCTTTTTGTCAGCTCCTTAGGTTCCCTTATTGGAGATGAAATAGCAAATGGATAACTGTCCCCGCTCCTCTGACAGTTGAGGCTGCCTCGCAGACCTGTTTGCCCTCGGTTGCACCTCTCTGCGCTGCTACAAGTTGAAGTGTTGTCATTCTCTCCGGGTGAAAATATTTGGGAAGAGACGCTGTGTTTAAGAAAAAGGCCTCGCTTTGCTGACTGGCCTGTTGGAGGAATTTATGGAGGGAATTTGGTGCCAAGGCCTCAGTGGTTTGTGTTGGCAATTTATTTCATATTCATTAGGCCTACTTGTTATTTTTTTTATATTTGTCTACTAGTCAGGTTACATTTTAATATTACATACTACCCACTGATGAATTATTGAATTAATTATCAGTGTTGTTGTCATTAAAATAATTATTCTTATAAAATATGCTGCATTATTTATCTTCACTTCATGGCAAGTCAAACAGATAAATTCACAACGTTTATGGATGGGATGTTTTATTTTGGAGTCAGTGTGAGATTTATTGCAGGAAAAAAAAAACACACACACACACAGAGCACAGCAAGGATTTTGACATTTTCTTATGGTGCAACTTTCTGACCGACGGAGCTCAAAATCTGCTCCTGGGAGCCAGTCTGTAGCAGTCGCCGCTGATCTTGTATTAGTTGCTCTCCCACCTGTGCCCGTGTCAGCGTTGCTAAGGGGGGGCCGCGGGCCGTGACTGACTGCGGCGATACACATCTCTCAGCTGAAAACGAGGGAGAAAGGAGTGATGAGGGAGACAGGGGGGAGAGAGAGGGAGAGGGAGAGAGCATGGCATGCAAAGGATGGCATCAAATCAGTCCTCTTTTCACCAGGCTGTCAGTCAGTCAGTCAGCCACTCGGTTCACCGTGGAGTAGACCCACTCGACTGAAGCCGCCGCGTTGTCAGTCCGACGCACGTTGAATTATTTGCACGTTGACATGTACACAATCAAGATTTAAAAAAAAAAAGAAAAAAAGAAAAGAAAAAACCACACACTTGTTTAACAAATGAAAGAGAGCAGCACGTGAGCTGGCGCCCCAGTGCCACCACAAAAACCCACAAACCCACAAATGGCCGCACAAATTACATAATCTAGCAGCACGGGAAGATGTGTGTGTATGATCGAAGGGACGACGCGTAATTTGAGTTATCCTGCGATACATACATCTGCAACCCAGTGCAGTCCACAGTCAGATAGGCAGCCTCATTGTGGCGAGTTGATCCCCTTCTCATGTAATTATAGGGGAGAGGGCTCCAGCTGTACAGGCTGCGAGGCCAGGGCTCCCAGTCCGCTGGGATCAGGGCGGTGGTGGGCAGGCCAGATCAGGCCAGCTCTGCTCATCAGCCAGCCATTAATTGATATGTGCAGTCATTGTGAAAGCAGGCCTCCCCCTCTCCTCCACCCCTCCCTCCGTTACCTACTGGGTAAAGGCTGTGGATACTGGCTGTGTCATTTCTTCATTTCCATTCTGGTTCTAATCTGCTCTGTCTTCTTCACACTGGCAACAGGGCAAGGCGGCAGCCTACATGTGCTCCTGCTCATCTGTGTATATGTGTGTGTGTGTGTGTGTGTGTGTGTGTGTGTGTGTGTGTGTGTCTGTGTCCCACAGGGGGTGAGGAGGGGTGTTGAAGGGGCTGTAACACACAGGCGTTAGTCTAGGTTGAGCCTTGTAGCTTCATGACCTTGATCTCCGGAGTTCAAGCCGGAGAGGGGAAGATGTTGGCGAGCTGGGCTCGCAGTAGCAGTTAGAGGCTAATAATGACAAGCACACACACACACACACACACACACACACACACACACACACACTCTCTCACAAGGGAAGGCATTGAATCGAATGTGGGATGTGCATTCAAGAAGAGGTCGCCCTGACCACAAAACATGGCCCGCTAGATTACACACATTAGATGGAAATCTCAAACGATGAGATTTTTATCACATTTGTTTGAATTTCTGTCATCGAAAATGTTAGATTAGATTTTTTTTTTGCCCCAGGGTGTGATGCCGATCTCATATAAGGACGAGCAATTATGATTTATTCCGCCGTGGTGATAAATCGAAAGGGGCATGAGTGACCTCAAAGTTTTATGAAGTTAGGGCCGCTGACCTTTCCTCATTATTAGGCCTTTACAGGATCTCATTTTGTGGAATGAATTTGTAAACTGATGACTGTCATTTCTTCATCCTTTACATGACGTGTTGATGTGCGAAAACCTGTTGTGTTCGAGTTATTTTTTAAAAATGCAACTTTAAACCAAACATGTCACTTTTCTTAGAAATTAGAAAGTAAAAGTGAAAGAATGTAAAGAAAGTGCTTTATCTCTGACTCGGTTATTGAATAATACAAAAAGCAATGGGAAATATGAAAGATGCCATTAGCCAGAAATGAATACGCTATCAATTAAAATCTAGCTGTATGAATGATCAGCTTTACTGAATCACTCTTTAAATGAGAGTTTATGTTCAGTTTCCCTGTTGTGTGCGTGCTGTGCTGCTCTGTGCGAATGCCTCATCCTTTACTTATGAGTTGGAGTGTATATTTTCCCCAGTAAGTTCTGCCCTGAGAGCTTGATAACGATTAGGGGTTGGAGGGTTAGAGGAGCAGTGGGGTGGATGGGTTGGGGTGGCGGCGGTTGTGGTGGGGGTAATCACGGACGTCATTTTGATCTAAGAATAAAGAGTGTAGGGCAGATGAGGTGCTGACAGATAGGCTCGACTCCGGCTCTCGAGTCCTTTCATGCCGGGGTGCCATCACAAGGAGCGTCTGCCTGTCTGGGCAGCCGGGGGGGAGATGGGGTGGGGAGGGGGTGAGGGCGGGTGAGGTCTAGATGGTAAGAGAGGAAAGGAAGAAATCGAAGTGGTCTCAGAGGGAGAGGTGGGAATGGAAGTGGGCGCGAGGAGGATCTATTTTTTTTTTTTTTCTTTTCACAACCTCCTCGCTGTTTTCGGTAGCAGACTTTGTTAACTGAGCCTGAGAGCGTGCGTGCACACAGGTCAGTGCGCGTGGGAGGTAGCATTTGTGACAGTTTTGCAACAGTGTGTATATCTGCACATACTGTGTGCGTGTGTGTTTTCAGTGCTAGTTGAGCCGCTCAGCCTTGAGAAAGTCCTGTGTCCAGGCGATGCTCTGGCCTTGCGCTCTCCCTCTGTGTCTGTCTGTGGAATCAGCTGGCACTCACATAACACCAACAAGGAATGTGTCCTGAAAAAATGTAAAACACCTTATCCTCACAACCCGTGATATTCCTCCTTTGTTTGCCCCCGGCTTCCCTGCTGAGCCCCCCTTGGCATTAAGGCATTATTGAGTTTGGCTTTTAGTTTGGTGTTTTTTTTTTCTTTCCTCGAAGTTCATTACCATTTTGGATTTAGGGATGCGTCATGCGATGTCAGGACCGCTTTCTCTTTTGATGTGT